TCATCACTAAGTTATTATATTTATTTATTTTATGTTTGCTTACTGTGTCCTAGCTTCTTGTTTTGTTTTGATATGCCCAAATAGGCTGCTCGTATGAGCTAGTTTGATTATTGGCACCTTTGAAGCTCTAATGTCCTGTCACCAGGTGGTTAAATCTGTTACTAGGTATGTGAGCTCAGGTGTCCGCCCACTCCTCCTGTATGGATTCAGCTCAGGTGCCCAGGTAGATAGCCACGAAGTATGTGGTATAGGCTCCCACTTACCATCCTAGACAGTCATGGGTGATTGGTGTAGGCACAGGCATCTGGCTGCAGGAGGGGGACACACTCTGAGCAAGACAGGGGGCTGACGGCCACCTCTGTTCAGGAGGAAGGCGTGTCTCTGTTCCCTAGAGCACGTAGGTGGGTGGGTTTTGAATCTGGACTATGAGCACCTAATGCTGTTGGCTGTAAGGACTGGGGGGCACCTCTTATTCATGGGCCCCTATTGCAGATGGCTAGGTGGCGTGGGTGGAGCTACCAGTCCTCAGGCCCCTGATATGGGTAGGTGAAGACTGCTTAATGGGCAGAGGAATGTCAAATGTCAAGAACTTGCCGCTTCACAGCTGAAACAGTTGAAGTTAGACTTCAGGTATATACCCTGCTGTACTGCAGTAATGAGGGCCTACGCTGTTGAAATGGGCCCATACAAGTCTATGAAGCAGGAAAGGTGCTCAAAGTCCATGGATCCCTTATGCCTGTGCCTAGGCAAAGGAGCTGTGCCTACCCTGGGTTCCAGGCTTAGAGGAGCCGGCAGTTTATTTTTTCCCGTTTGTTGATTTGTTCACTCTCCAAGTTAGGGAGAAAGGCTCAGAGCGTGTGATGGATTCTGCTTCTGGCCCAGGGGACTCGGCAATTGCTGAAGCCGGTCCAGGACCCAGTGCAGAGCAGCGAGTGGGGAGTTAAAGGGGAGAGAGATTTTTCCCTAAGGGGGGTGTTTTTGATCCGGGTGGTAGGCCATACATAAGTACTTATCTTTTGCTGATCCAGGGCTGTGAACGCACATTGCTAAGGGTGTTGCAAACCTTTCCCTCTTTTGTGTTGCTAAGAGAAGAAACAGCTTAGATGTAGTGGTTAGTGTGAGGTAGTCAGGGGATGCCCCACTTCTCTCCCTTTCTTCATCCAGACGCCTTGTTTCATTTGTTATGCCTTTGGCTAAGATTTTGTTGAATAGAGTTCTGCTGCTTAAGAGAAGAAAGAGCCAAAAGTTTGAAAACTACTGTGCTAGAGCTCTAGGGTTTTATAAACATAGGAGATTTTAAGCAAGAGAAATGCTATATTTGCATTTAGGAAGACAGCTGATTCAGCTTGCTAATTTTGGAATTGCTAGTAAACAAACTACTTTGGCGCCCTTTTAAGAGATTGGCTGCTAACCAAAAGGTCGGCAGTTTGAATCCACCAGCCACTCCTTGGAAACCCTATGGGGCAGTTCTGCTCTATCCTGTAGGGTTGCTATGAGTCAGAATCGACTCGATGGCAACTTTTTTTTTTATCATTAATTATCATTAGGTGGTTTTTCTCTCTACTTAGTGTAGATTTGGAATCATGTCAAGAGGTATTTGTCTATTGTGAGATTTTACTCTTATTGGAATGTCATGAGTAGTTGCAATACTTTGAGAAGATCCAAATGGATGTGTAGTGTGTTTTCTAAGCCTCATCTTAATCTGCAGTCTTTATGAGCTGGGATCTTCTTTTTTAATGATACCCTGCCTTGGTTTTAGTCATTAAACGTGAGGAAGTACCATAGTATAGCAAAGTATGTGTACCTACTCTGTGTTGCGAGAGCTCGTTGGAAGGGCACTATCCCTAACTCTTGGCAGACCAGGAAAGGCTTCCTGGAGAAAGGAAAGGATGGTCCTGGGGAGCCAGTTGAAAAGATGCAAACACTGGGCACCTGCTGCCTAGAATGCCTTTCCTGTTTTCTTACCTGGCTCCCTCTCATGGCATTCAGGTCTCTGTGCAGAGTCCTTTCCTAACCACATATTTAAAATAGCATCCCCAGGTGCTCATGATCCTCTTACCCTGTTCTTGTCTTCAGAGCATTTATAACCACCTGACATATATGTGTTCATTTTTGCTTATATCCCTGTCTTGGATGTTAGCTCCACCAAGGCAGAGATTTTATCTGTTTTGTTCACTGATGTTTCCCTCCTGCTTAGAACAGAGCCTGACAGATAGTAGTCATGCAGTAAATATGTGTCTTTAAATTAAATGTTTTTTAAGCTAATGAAAATGAGAACGTGCTCCAGGCAGAGGAAGGAGCCTGGGCAGCAGTATGGCAGGTCTAGGAGATTATGGCCTACCAGTAAGCAGGTCTCTGTGAGCTGCTTGAGAGGTCTTCGTGGATCATTAGGAGAAGTGTAGGCTGAAAGAGGTTAAGGAAAGGATAGAGACTAGATCTGAGGGACAAGACTGGGGGTGGTAGAAAAGGTTGAACCACAGAAACTGGAGATTCACCCTGCTACCCGAGAAGTGCTTCTGTGAGAACGCTCCATTTCCTGAGTATTAGGGTTAATCAGGAGTCCCTCAGTGGTGCGACAGTAAAGTGCTAAGCTGCCAATTGAAAGGTTGACAGTTCAGGTCTACCTGGAAGTGCCTTGGAAGAAAGTCCTGGCTCTTTACCTCCAAAGTATCAGCCATTGAAAATCCTATGGAGCACAATTCTACTCTGATACACATGGGGTCACAATGCGTTGAAATCTACTCAGTGCAACCAACATCAAGGGTTAATCAAGATTTTAGTATATTTTGTTCTTTGAAAAATTAGCAGCATTAATTACCCTGACGTGTTTTGGCATTTGACACGAAGAAATGTACCTTTGTTCTGTTCTAACACTGGCATCTCTTTTCTCCTTCCAGTTCTCCTTCAATATGTTTGACCACCCAATTCCCCGGGTCTTCCAGAACCGCTTCTCCACCCAGTACCGCTGCTTTTCTGTGTCCATGCTAGCAGGGCCTAATGACAGGTCAGATGTGGAGAAAGGAGGGAAGAGTATGTGCTTGTTTTTATTTTGTATAGAAACCTTTCCTGCCCCTAAGTCTGCAATGCTTGTAGCCTCCAACAGTCAGTTTTTGCATGTGGTAACCAGAAGCTAGTGTTATGTTACAGTAGAAATATTGCTTGTCCCAGACTTGCTAAGCGGAAGCAGGGGGTGGGGGTGTGAAGGAGGGGTATTCCTAATTCTAATTAGATCTATGACTGGTACTTATTTAGTTCCCCAAAATAAATTACATCAAGTATGGTTCTTTATGAAAGATTATTATGAAATTCTAGCTGCCCCAAAATATTGTTTAAAGCTTTTTTTGGATATAATATAAGCTACATTTTGGCTTCTGTTCTTTTTTTTTCTTTTTTAATATTTTAAAAATGTTCTTTCTGCAGTAATCATGCCACCATCTGCCCTCGATCAACTCAGTAAGTATCTTCTAAGTGACTTAATAACATAGGCTCCTCAGTACTGCAGATGCAGGCATCCTTCATCATGTTGGGTTGGGAATTGTCCCTGAAGGGCGCTTGCTGGGCGGGAGAACTGGGTCACGGGGCAATGTGGAGTGGTAGCCATCTGTCCAGGACAGATGGGGCAAGTGAGTGTTCAGCATTATCACTGCCTTAGGCACTTCAGGCTGCTCCTCACCCATACTTGTCTGGAAACCAGGATCCTGGCAGGATTAAAAGAAGATGTGAGTGTCAAGTACCTTTCTCAGTGCCAGGGCAGCTGATGCTGGCTGGACTTCCTAGGCTTTCTTCTAAAGGACAGGAGGTCGATTGACCAGAGGATGCTGAGAGGCAGGTTTCTCATCTCCACACCAAACATCGTCCCTAAGTTCCAGGCCCGTGTTTCCAACTCCACTGCCACATCTCATCCTCAGCATTTCCAAACCTGAGCTATTGTTTTCTGCACCAGGAAGTGTTCCCCTCACTGTGCTCTCTGCCTCTTGCAAGGAGTGAGAAAGACCCACAGGTTGTCAGAGCCGTGGTGCTTTTCTTCTCTTCCCCTACTTCTCATCCAATGAGAGCATCCTGGAGACCCTAGTCCCACACCACCCAGACATGGAAAACCCTGAACACAGATGGAGTGTAGTTATCGCCTTTGGAGACTTGGGAGCGCTTCCAGCATGAATCCATTTCCACTGCAGGGTGGTACTACTTCTGGAGGCTCTTCCTTGGCCTACCTGTAGCTTCCAGCCCAAGCGATCTTTACTTGATTTATTTAGAATTTTTAGAAGAGCCCCCAAATGGGGTCTGTTGTACCTCCTGTTTCTGAGTGAAACTTTTGTTAACGTGTTTACCTAAACCTACAAGCTAAAGAAAGTATAGCTTAGGGATTAACTCCCCACACTTGAGCCAGCAACCTGGGTTTGAATCCCAGTGTCAGGCATGTTACTTAACCTGTGTGCCTTAACTTCCCCATAGATAAAAAGGGGATAATGATAGTGCCTACCTCACTATTCTGGGAAGATTCACCAAGGCCTTAGTACATGGCAACACTGTCATTACTGTCTCAGACCTTTCCCCCAGGTCCTCAAGTCTCTGGGGTTCTCCTCCTGCAGTCACCAGCCCATTTTCTATGCCCCACTGCACCTCCTGAGTCCACATGCCAGCAGTCTTGTTTGCCTGGCCCTCTATGCACCCCTGGCCTTGCAGACCACTGGATTGAGGGAACTTAGGTTGTGACCCTGCTGAAAGCCCACGTGCCTGACCAGGAGGCCGGGTGGTGTGCTCCCTGCTCTGTGGTGTTCTGTCCTGGCTTCCCTCCCCATTCTGACTCCTCCCATGCCCTCCCTTGTGCTCCAGCCACACCTGATTGCCAACGTTTCTCTGAACTGGCCAGTCTACTTTTCATTTCCATGCCTTTGCTCAGGCTACTCCTCTGCCTAGGATTCCCTCCCTGGCCCTGACCCTGGCCCTGCCCTGCCTGGTGCCTTGCCTTGAGAACTTATCCTACAAGAGCCTGTGAGCCTTCTCCCACTGGCCTGGATTCCTTCGCCCCCTCTATTCCCCCAGTACCTGCAGCATTTTAGCACACTTGTTTGTTCTGTTTCTTGCCTTTCTAGCCTAGAAACCTTCAAAGGCAGGGATTTTATATGACATGATTGGCACTTAAATTATTTGTGAATAAATGAATGTACATAGTCTTTTTTTAAATCTGTGATTTCAGAAAGTTGTCAGGCTAAGCCAGTGCTGCATTCCAGAGATTTGCCAAACATTCCTGATTTCTACTCTAGGCCAGGCATTGTGCTCTAGAGGAAGCGACTTATCCCTGCCTTAGGAAGCTTGGGGTCTAGTGGGTGGGCAGACACCAAGGGTCCAAGTACCATATGGGAGTCTGAGTTTTTCTCTGGTAGGAGGCTGGGGAAGGCTGCGTTCCTGGAGGAGGCTTTAGGTAAATGTGGGCTGTCCTTTCATGGAAGCCATTCCTGAGCATTGCCTGCGTGGTCCACACTCATAACCTCTCTCTTCTTTTTAGGCCGACTTAACATTACCTATCCCATGCTGTTCAAACTGACCAATAAGAATTCGGACCGCATGACGCACTGCGGTGTGCTGGAGTTTGTGGCAGATGAGGGCATCTGCTACCTCCCCCACTGGGTGAGTGGCGCCTCCGAGGTCTCTGAGAGGCTGTGTCCCTTGGGGCCCTGCATGGTCCAGTAGAGGAGTAGGCCTGTCACAGGGCATCGGGGTCTCTCAGGCAGGGACATCCCCCCAGCGTGTGTGCATGAGAGTCCTGGCTCTGCCACAGCTCTGTTGCAATTGGGATGGTGTGGCCCAACTTGTGGTTTCAGAAGGCGGGGAAGCCGTAGGAGCCCTCTGCTCTGATCTGATGAGGACTCGGTCAGTCAGAGGAGTTTGTTGAAGAGGGGGATTCTAAACAATGCTGTGTGCCTCAAACATTGTATTTTCACCATAAGCACACAGATGTTCACCAGTTGTGCTGTAGAGTAAGGGCCTATTGTGAGAATTGTCAGTTGCTTTCATATATACCATAGCCATACTGTATGAACCTTAATTTCCTATCAGACTTCTTTTTTTTTAAATAATGGAGCAAGAGTAGTGTTTTTGAAGTGGTCTAAGTATAGAGATTAAGAGTTTTTTCCCCACTTTCTTGCTGTTTTCTCCCTTCATTCTGTTGCAGTGTTTTGTGTTTTTTAGAAACTTGACTTGAATTGAGTCTTTCCAAAGCACTCAGTTTAGTTGCCACAGGAACAGTGCCTTTCTTTTTGCACTCATGCTTTCCCCATTTGTGTACTGTTTGCTTGAACCCAGTCACAGGTAGGACCGACCTCTCCGGCGGAGAGTCCTCAGAGCTTGCTCTGGGGCACATGCGCCTCAGAGAGGTCAGCAGAACCGCACCAGTATTTTAGGGAGGAGCCCGTGGAGAGGGTTCCACATGAGGGTGTTGTGCACTGGTCAGGTGGGGCACAGGAGAGGTAGGATGTGACCCCGCCCCCACCCCCAGTGCGTGAAACGCACGAGGCATAGTGGCCGTGGACTGTGTCAGTTGGTGCCTGTCCCGTTCCTCCATGGTGGGCCAGGCCACGCTCCCAGTGCACAGGAGAGACGCTGGGGCTCAGTGGAGAAGAGTGCTGACTGGAGTTCTGCCCCCTTGTCCTTCAGAGAGGTCTTTTGTAAAAGTGAGCCTTTATAAGCCCTTCTATTTGCCTGAGGGTCCTTTGTTCTAATCAGGTGTTATGCAGAAACCCAGTGTGTCAGAGTTTCAAAAGGAATGGCTCTGGCTGGGTCTGGGGCAAAGGGCCTGCTTGGCTCCCTCTTCCCTCCTCCTCTTCTCCCGAGCTTTGACATTCTTAGCTTTGGAAAAACCACAGAGGAAACTGCTTGTCCTTCTCTTAGTCCTTTAATTGTGGCAGGTGTGCTGATAGACTCTGTGGATGGGGCTGGGAATGCATAGATACCTCCTCACCAGCCACACTCTGATGGCCTCACTGCCCCTGGTCCCCTATTGCAGTGTTCACAGAACTTTCGAAAGAATGTGTTTAATTCTTTTTAATTTTTGAGATGAAATATGAACAGAAGTTCTGAACATTTTTCCCTCCTGCAGTGGGTTACCTTGCCCAGGCTTCCTGGGAGATCCCCCAGGCCCACGCCCACCCTGGTCTCCCAGCTTGGATCCCTGGTCCTTTCACAAGTGCTGGGCCTGGCCCACTTCTCATCACCCCCAGGAGCTTGGTGCTGAGATCTCAGTGTCCTGCTGCCTGGCCTTTCCTGGGCTGCTTCCTCACCCAGTGGCCCATGCCTACCCAGGCTTGGTCTGTGGGGAGGTCCTACTCACACCTCGAAGCCCAGGCCTGACGCAGTTCTCTCCTTGATTGCCTTCCCCTTCACCGTGTCCCTGGGACACCCTCACAGCACTTGCCATTCAGCACCTTCCTGTCTTTGTGTCTGCAGGTGCCCCTTGAGGGCATGAGGCCATGTTCTGCTTGTTCAGCAGAGTGCCTCGTCACAGAAGCTGCTCTGAGTGGCTCAAATGTTGGAAGCTGCTCCTTCCCAAATCCATTCTGGACCCACAGAGAGGCCCCTGTGTGGCTATCTATGGAGGTGAAAGAGGAGGTGGTGACACTGGAGGGACACTCTGTACTCCTCCAGCTCACATGCTTGGAGTTTGGATGGCCGCTTGTCCAAACTCCCAGACCACTTGGGGCCAGAAAACGAACTAAATCACTTCCACGGAAAGACATCATGTCCCTTTGGGAGGCCTCTGGGTAGCATGGAGTGTGGAGCTGGCATGGGGTATGAGGGCTGTCTTCCCAGCACTTTGGGCATGAGCAGGTGGTTGCCTGGGGCTTCCCAGTGGATGTTGTGGAGCTGGGCTTGAGGGTCTTCCGACTCCTAGGAGGGTGTGTGAGCATGTGCTTCCCGTTGGCTGGTGAGCTGACTCCGTCCCACCTGGAGCTCCCAAGCTTCTTCAGGGCAAGTCAGCCTCAAAGGGCATAAGCCTTTCTACCGGCCCCTGAGGTGTTCGACGACCTAGACTGAGGTCTCTGTAGCTGGGCCACTTGTAGCTATGTCCTTCTAGCTTTGCCCCTCCTCCTCCCTGGCAAGGCTTCTCTTACGGGCTGTGATCCCAGCCTTGCCCAGGGCTTTCAGGGCTTTGTGCCATTGATTATCCTTCTTCCCTCTGAAACAAATTTACCTAAAAAGCCTGCCTAAGGGACTACAAGCTTGTCCCATGGCAGTCTGACTTCTGACCCTTCTAGCACTTTCCATTCAATCATTACTCTCCAGGGTCACCAGAACCTCTCAGTCACCAAATCCAGTTACCTCTCTATCCTGCTTGGCCTGCTGGTGGCATTTGATGGAGATATCACCCCTCAGTTTCTATAGTTCCCAGTCTGCTGGTCCATGCCCCATGAGCCTCCTTCAATGATGGTGTCTTCCCAAGTGTGTTGGGGCCTCCACAGGCTTGTCCCATGTGGTCCTGCAAACTCTCATGGCTTCATTTATGGACTTTAGTCACAGCTCCACACAACCTTCCTTGGCCCTGGCTTCACTTCCAGACACAGCCTCTTCACTTGGCAAGCCCTGCCGCTCAGCTGTGTTCCCTTCCTCTTACCTACACTGCGCTCCTCGGCCCACTCTTGGGCTATTAGTCACCTCCCACCTGCCTCTCATCATGCCTGTGCGGGACAGTGGAGTCGGGAGTCTTCATACTGCCACAGGATTAATTTGGGAACAGATTGTCTGATAGTGCCATCCTGGGTGCAGCTTTCTAGAAAGGGATGTGATGGTGCCCTAGAGAGGGGTGACGATAGGTGAAACAAGATCAGCCATGACTTGATGATTGCTAGAGCTGGGGATGGGTGGGTAGAGGCTCACTTGTGCTGCTTTTGTGTGTATTTGAAATTCTTTTTAAGAAGGTTTAAAGTAAGAAAAGGAAAAAAGCATTCCAGGACGTAGAGGGTTTCTCATTTCTGGCCCTACCTCCTTGCTTCGGGGTCTTGGCCCTACTGCAGTGGTCTGAATTCCCTGTATACCAGGTACTCATAGGCCTTTGTTCATCTTTCTGTCTCACTCCCAGCTGTGGTCTACCTTGCAGAGCGGTTTAATAGAGGTTTTATATTAACCCCTGTAGCAGACATTTCTGGTGCCTGTCACCACTCCTCAGCCTTAGCTGTGGTAGCTGTACCATGCAAGGTCACACTCATGTGCTGTCATTGTCCTACCTCAAGCACAAGGAACGCACCTTTCCATATTTGCCCATAGGGCTTTGTCAACACCGTGTGAGCTCACTGGGCCTGTTGCCTGTGGGCAGCTTGGAAGTGTGGAGAAGGAGCACCCCTTGGAGGTCTGGAGCTGGTGGCTGATGCTGCACTACCCGTTCTCTCGGTGGATGTTCTGGGAGGGGGTCTGTCGCTTCTCAGGCACCCATGTTGCCTGCTGCAGTAGCCTCAGTAGCACCCCTTTGTCGGCCTTTTTCCTTCCACGTCTTTTCTCGTTCTTTTTCTTTCACTTGTGCACATGCACACAGTTTTTCCTCCTTCCACGTCATATCTCAGTTAAATTACCTGTCTCCCAAGTCCTTGCCTCAGGAGACCCAAAGTAACAGGCCACTTGAATGTAAGATTTGGCCCACCTGGTGTGTGGGTAGATGGGGGTGGTGTTGGCCACTTAATTTCATGTAGCTTTCTTCTTTTTTAGATGATGCAGAATTTGCTGTTGGAAGAAGGGGGCCTGGTTCAGGTGGAGAGTGTCAACCTTCAAGTGGCCACATACTCCAAATTCCAGCCTCAGAGTCCTGACTTCCTGGACATCACCAACCCCAAAGCAGTGTATCCTTTTAAACAAGAAGGATCCTTCTAGTCAAGGAGGGGGATGCTGACAGTGATTACACAGCAAGTACTTGTTGAATGTCTGCCTATTTTGGTGACCACACATTTGTTTGTGGTTGAAGTTGTGATCTGAGAATAATGCTTTCAGCCAGCCTGTCTGCCATGGGGTCTGGGTTGTAAGTGAATGCACTGGGTACTCGGACCTCTTCTGGCTCCCTTTCTAGACATTCTCTGGCAAGGGGAAATGGAACCCTTCTTTTAGGTGGAATCTGCCACAAAGCCCAGTGTGTGCAGATATATCCTGGTGCAAGGAGGGACCTGCTCATCTTGCTCTGTCCTCTCTGTGGAACCCCTGATGTCTCAGCTCAGCCATTAACTGGCCAATCTCAGTGTTTGCCTAGGATCAGGGTTGATTCACTCTAAACCAGTGTGTAGAATTCACTTAATACATTTTCTGTCTCTCAGCAACAAGAAAGCAAAGGTTTTGGGTTCTAGTGTTTTTTAATGTTGTCTGAACTTAAGCCAGACTTGTGTGTTCGTAATTTTAGGAAGTGAGGGTGAGGAACGTGCTGTGTGTGGACCAAGATTGAGATCTCTAGCTTGGAGGCCCCGATTTGGTTTGTTGAGATTATAGTATACAGTGGCCACTCAGTACTACTTGTTTTTAAAAAATGCACGCTTGAAAAAACACCACCACTACAGTTTAACACCACAAACAAGATGAAAGAAAAAACAAAAAAAACCCACCTCCACCCTTTCCACCTGTGCCGTCCCGCCAGGCCCATTCCCAAGAGGAAGCTGTGGCTGACCATGTCCTGGACACAAACCGGCCATGCTGCGCACTCTGCTCATGGCACTGTCAGTGTTGGAGGCTTCCCATCCCATCCTGCAGGCAGGAAGCTGTCCTGTGGGAAGTCTGGCAGACATGTCCTTTAGAACTCCCACTTGGAGCACTTGTGAGCCTGTCAGCGACCAGTAGTGGGGCATACCTCTGTAACCATAGCCCCTTCTGCTTTTCTCTGAGTTTTTATATGTGTGGAGAACCAAGCTTACTGTAAGATTATTTTCAAAGAATATTTCTATAGGTGGTTTTGAGGAACGTTTGAGAGGACCTGTGTATGGATCTATGATTCATTCAATCTTTTTTCCTCTGTGCTCCCACAGGCTTTTTTAAATCAACTTTATTGAGGTGTGATTTACATACAATAAAATGCACATAGTTTCATGAGTTTGATAAATGTATGTTGTTGTTAGGTGCCATTGAGCTGATTTTGACTCATAGTGACCCTATATGACAGTGGAACTGTCCCATAGAGTTTTCTAGGCTGTAATCTTTACAGGAACAGATTGCCAGGTGTTTCTCCTGTGGAGCCATTGGGTAGGTTTGAACTGCCAACCTTTTGGTTAGCAGCCGAGTGCTTAACTATTATGCCACCAGGGCTCCTGTTAAATGTATACACCGTATTATCAGAATGTTTCCGTCTTCCCCAAACGTCCATTTGTGCCCCTTCCAGGCTAGTCTCCACGCAGCCCCTGGCCCCAGCAACATCTGACCTGCTTTCCATCCTTATGTATTAGATTTGTCTTCTTAGGGTTTCGTGTGAACGGAATCTTATGGTATGCACTCATTTGTAGCTGGTTCTTCCTGTAGCATAATATTTGTGAGAAACATCCATGCTACTGCATGTGTTAGGAGTTTGTTCCCTTTTATTGCTGAGTAATACTCCATTGTATTACAACTGTTTGTTTTTAGTACCAGCATGATGCATTTCTCTCCACCTAACGTCGATCATGTGAACCCCTCACAGAAACTTGTCTCAGATTTAAGGTATCCATCTTGCCATGTTGCCTTGACAGTATTGCAGATTAGAAAATGCACTGAGAAACTTTGCCTGTCTGACCACCGGGGACGTGATTGCCATCAACTACAATGAGAAGGTAAGAGGCTCAGCCTTGGGGAGAACAGGACCTCACAAGAATACCACCAGACACCCAGAGCAGAAACAGCTAAAGGAGATTTAGAACCCTAAGAAAATCAGTATTAGAATATTTAGGTACAGATATAAAATAATCATGTATAAAATATTCAGAGAAATAAAAAATAGAATCGCAAAATTGAGCAAGCCACAAAAGGCTATCAGAAATAATCAGGAAAACTTAAAAAACAGATTAGACATAGTTGAAAGAGAGTAATAAAATGAAAGACAAATCTGGAGAAATAATTTTGAATTCATCACAGAGGATCAAGGAATTAGAACATGAGAGATGAAGATAATGAGAAAGTCAAACATATGCTCAATGAAAATTCCAATAGGAGAGAATGGAGGAGTGCCAATATTTTGAAGAGATAATGACTGAATTTTTAACCCACAGTTACAGGAAGTATAATGTATACCCAACAGGATTAATCAATAAGAGACCCACACATTGCAGTGAAACTACAGATATAAAGTATCCAATAAGAGGGATCAACAGCTCTTACAGATACTTAACAGAGGAACAGCAAATAGCTGGCCTTTGACTAGCAGCAGTTATAGCCAGAAATAGCAGAATGTCATCAGAGTGCTGAGAGAAAGTAACTGTGACCAGTTTATCTTTAGAGGATGAGGGCAAAAGAAAGATATTTTCAGATAAACAAAATCTGAGAGTTGTTTTCTAAACCAATGGAATTTCAAAAGCACACACTTTAGGAATAAGCATCATCTCAGAAGGAAAGACAGTAAGGATTGGTGAACAAATTGGCAAATATGAAGGTGAATCATAGTAAATGAAGCAGTAACAATGTTTAATACATGGGACTTCAAAAATTACATCTAAAATACTGGAAAAGAGTAAGACAGTATTGTTTAGAATTTAAGTGTTGTTTATTTACATCTCAGTAAGTTAAATTATCAATGAAAATAGTAAATGACAAGTCTACATGTAATAAAGAACACCTACACAAAACCTACAACTAACATCATACATAATGGCGAGAAACTAGATGCCTCTTCCTAAAGTAGGGAAAAAGGCAAGGATGTTCCTATTCAGCATTGTACTGGAAGTCCTAGCTAGTACAATAAGACAAGAAAAGGAAGTAAAAGGTAGACAGATTGGGAGGAAGAAATAAAACTGTCTTTGTTTGTAGATGACATGATCGTCTATGTAGAAAATCCCAGAGAACTAACAAAAATTCCTGGAATTGATAAGTGATTAAAGCAAGATTGAGTCTTCATGGATAGGAAGACTCAATATTGTTAAGATGTTAATTTTTTCCAATGTTGTCTATAGATACAGCACAATCCCAAGTTATTTTGTGGATATAGACACACTGATTCTAAAGTTTATGTGGAAAGCAATAGACCCAGCATAGCCTAGACAATACTGAAGAAGAACAAAGTCAGAAGACTGACATTGCCTGACTTTAAGACTTACTATAGAGCTGCCAGGAGCCCTGGTAGTACAGTGATTAAAACACTCAGCTGCTAACCAGAAAGTTGGCGGTTCGAACCCACCAGCCGCTCCACAGGAGAAAGATGTGGCAGTATGCTGCTGTAAACATTTACAGCCTTGGAAACCTATGGAGGCAGTTCTGCTCGTCCTATAGGGTCACTGTGAGTCAGAACCGACTCAGTGGCAGTGGGTCTGGTTTTTTTGTTTTTCTGTAGGACTGCCATAATCAAGAGTGTGGTACTGACAAAGTAATAAACAACTAGATCAGTGGAACAGAATAGAGAGCCCCAAAACAGACCCACACAAATATAGTCAACTGATCTTCGTCAAAGCTGCAAAGGCAATTTAATGGAGAAAGGATAACCTCTTCACCAGATGGTGCTGGAATAACTGGATGTCACGTGCTAAAAGTGAATCTAGACACAGACTTTACACTTTTCACAAAAGTGAACTCAAAGTGGTTCATAGACCTAAGTGTAAAACATAAAACTATAAAAACTTGTAAAAGATAACAGGAGAAAATTTAGGTGACCTTGGGTGTGGTGATGAATTTTTAAGTTCAACACCAAAAGCACGATCCATGAAAGAAAAAAATTAGGTAATTCATACTTCATCAAATTAAAAACTTCTCTGTGAAAGATACTGTTGAGAGAATGAATAGACAAGCCACAATCCAGGTGAAAATATCTGCAAAACATGTATCTGATAAAGGACTTGTGTCCTGAATATACAAAGAGCTCTTAAAGCCCAACAATAAGAAAACAGCCTGATTACAAAATGGGCCATAGATCTGAACAGATACCTCACCTAAGAAGATATATCAGATGGCAAATAAGCATATGAAAAGATGCTCAACATGTGTCATTAGGGAATTACAAATTAAAACAATGAGATAGTACTACCAAAAATCAAAACCTATTGTCTTCAAGTTGATTCCAACTCAGCGACCCTATATGACAGAGTAGAACTGCCCCATAGGGTTTCTAAGGAGCAGCTGGTGGATTCGAACTGCCAACCTTTGGGTTAGCAGTTGAACTCTTAAACACTGCACCACCAGGGCTCCAGATACTACTACACGGCTATTAAAACCAATAAAACCAAACCTGTTGATGTTGAGTTCATTCCGACTCGTGGAGACCCTATGTGTACAGGGTAGAACTGCTCCATAGGTTTTTCTTGGCTGTAGTCTTTACGGAGAGCCCTGGTGGTGCAGTAGTTAAGAGTTCGGCCGCTAACCAAAAGGTTGGCGGTTCGAATCCAGTAGCAGCTCCTTGGAAACCCTATAGGGCAGTTCTATTCCATCCTGTAGGGGCGCTATGAGTCAGAATTGACTCTATGGCAACAGGTTTTTTTTTAAGTCTTTATGAAGTCTTTGTTCTGTAGTGCCGCTAGGTAGCTTCAAACTGCCAACCTTTAGTAGTCGAGCACTTAGCCATTTGCGCCACCCAGGGACCTTACACACCTGTTGGAATGACTAAAATCCAAAACTGACAACACCAAATGCTAGCGAGGATGTGGAGCAACAGGAACTCTCATTCATTGCTGGTGGGGATTTAAAAAGGTACAGCCACTCCGGGAGACAGTTTCTTACAAAACTAAACCTGATAAATATTTCTAACTGAATGACAAGCATATTTAATGATAAAATGTTAGAAGCTTCCCTTAATTTCAGGAACCAGGACAAGGGTGCCTACTATTTACTGGTTCTTTTGAACATTGCTCTGGAGTAAGACAAGAAAAAGTAATAAGGATTGAAAGGCAGGAACAAAACTTATTATCTTCAGCTCATGTGATTGTCAACAAATGAAACCCAAAAAACCTAAAGAAAATTAATCTAAGCAAGGTAGCAGGACATAAAACTGGGAGACAAAAATAAATTTTACCTCCAGAAGTAATTTTCTTAAAGGCACCATTTACAGTAGCAAAAAAAAAAAAAAAAATACAAGGTACCTAGCAAGTCGTATGTAAGACCTATGTGGAGAAAATTTAAAACTTCATCTAAGGACATTAAAGAAGAGCTGAATAATTAGGTACTATGGTCATGTATAAAATGAATCCTGGTGGCACAGTGGTTAAGTTCTTGGCTGCTAAACAAAAGGTCAGTAGTTTGAACCCACCAGCTGCTCCATGAGAGAAAGATGTGGCAGTCTTCTTCCCTAAAGATTTCAGCCTTGGAAAACCTATAGGGTAGTTCTACTCTGTCTTATAGGATCACCATGAGTTGGAATTTATGGCAACGGGTTTGTTTTTTTTTTTTTTTGGTTATGGTCATGTGTTGGAAAATTCTGAATAGTAAATATCAGTTCTCCTCAAGTTATTCTATGTTGATTCTGTAGAGTCAATACAATTGCAGTAAAATACTAAGTAGCTTTCTGTGGTGCCTGACAAGCTGAAGAAGAGCCAAAGATTAAAAGTAGTCAAGACACTCCAAAAGAATATTGGGGAGGCATCTTGCCCTGTGAAATAGCAAGGAGTGTCATAAAGCTCCAGTGATTAAAGTATGATGTTGGTGCTGAAATAGACAAGTAAACCAGTGAAACAACACAGGGATCCTAGAAATCAACCCTGACATGCAGATCTTGGTACATGACTGAGGTGGTATTGTGGGTCACCAGGCAAAGGAGAGACTTGAGTGGAGCTGGTATGATCCACTGATTGATTGAGATGTGCAGTTTGAAAACACTGCTTTAAAGAAACTTGAGCATGTATGCCAGGAGACACATACACGACTGCTTATAGCAGTATCGTTAGTAACAGCAAGACAATTGGAAACAGCCTAGATGTTGAAAGTGGATAAATTGTGGCACTTTAACACAATGACATATTCTTTTGAAGCTACTTCTATTAAATAATTAAGAACCTTTTACAGATGGATTGGGGATATGAGGAAAACGAGCCTTCTCATCCTACTTTGGTGACCCTTTTCCTGTTTAAGCTTTTTTTAACGGTGAGACTATCCAGACTGTTTTAAATGCTGTACTCCTGGGAAAAAGGAAGAACTTGAACTGATACGGTAAAGAGTAGATGTGGCCGTGGTTAGTTCCTATCCATCTGTATTTTTTTTTTTTTAAATATTTTATTGTACTTCAGGTGAAGGCTTACAGAACAGATAGTTTCTCATGTAACAGTAACACACATGCTGTTTTATGACATTGGTTAACAACCC